CCTGGTGGGCTATGGTCCATAGGGCCGAAAAGAGTTGGACACAACTGAAGTGACTTAGCACACAAATCCAGCTGTGTGATCATGAGTTAGTCACTTACCTCTCAGCAACACAGCTTCCTCACAGGTAAAATGAGGATGTTAAAATAGAATATTTGTCTCATCAATATTTCTTCAGCATATTTCCAGAACTATTTTAAGCACTAGTGATTTTGGAACAAACAGGAAATATTCCTGTCTTCAGATAGCTTATATGTTGGCTCTAGAGGCAGACAATAAACAACAAACAAATGAATAAATAATATATTATCAAGTAATCATGAATCGCTGAGGAGGGGCTATGCGACCAGAGATTATAACAAAGAGAGGATGCAAACCAAGCCAGCCAGTTGGTATCTGGGGAAAGAGATTTCTGGTAGACAATTCCCTCGTGGCTCAGATGGTAAAGAATTAACCTGCAATGCAGGAGACCCAGGTTCCATCCCTGGGTTATGAAGATCCCCTGGAGAAGGGAATGGCAACCCACTCCAGTATTCTTGCCTGGAGAATTCCATGGACAGAGGAGCCTGGCAGGCTACAGTCCATGAGGTTGCAAAGAGTCAGACACAGATGAGTGACCAAGCATTTACAAGTATTGAGTAAGTGAAAAAATGTCCTCAGGGGCTCCCATCTTTAACCTGCCTTTGAGATTCCTTGAGAGGTAGGTGCTGAATGGGGATAAGAAATGGCAATTTGTAGACCTTATCTGTTTCACCCTAAGTTATTCATGTCACCCTCAAAGCTCAAATTCCTGTACCCTGGTTTCTGCTCTGGCCACATCCTTTCCTGCCTGCGTGAGGAGACATGAAAGTTCACTGGGGGCAGAAACTTCAAAGGAAACTCAGCTGATGAAAGAAATCTACTCATGCAGCAATGAGTCCTGAAGAAGTTAAAATCGACTCTACCGTGAAATACAGCCTTTTCTCATTTGTATACATTTGGTCAAAGGGATCCACATCTAAACTCTATTTTTAGGACTCTTTTTTTTAGCTCTTAATTATTTCTATTCTGAGTATTTGTTTCACTAGCATTTTTTACTCAAACTTTGAAGTATTAAAGAAACAGAAAAGTCAAAAGAAGCTAAGCCTAACACGTTACCCACTCTTCTTCCAAAGATGCACATGGGGCAAGTTCCTTATCAAGTCATTACACACAAACACAACTTTTGCAAGCCTGGTGGGAATGGAGAATATATAGTAAATATATACATTTGGTGCTGAATCCTATTAAAGGGTTCCTTGTTCAGGAACCATTGCTTGGGACCATTTGCCAGAATGGTGGCGGTGGTTGGTGATTCAGTTTGCTAAGTTGCGTCCAATTCTTGCAACCCCATGGACTGTAGTCTGCCAGGCTCTTCTGTCCATGGGATTCTCCAGGCAAGAACACTGGAGTGGGTTGCCATTTCCTCCTTCAGGGGCTCTTCCCAACCCAGGGATCAAACCCAGGTCTCTGGCATTGCAGGTAGAGTCTTTACTGACTAAGCTACAAGCGAAGCCCCAATATATTGCCAGGATATTAATAACTAACATGGTGGATAGATTCACAACCCTGTGAAGAAACAAAAGTTCAGAAATAGTAGGGACTGGGTGGGAGGAGGAGCCAGGATTTGAACTGGGACAACCTTTACTGACCATCAGCCCTCATCAAGTTTCCTTGGGTGGAACAGAGACCACTGTTCAGGAGAGCAAGGCCTCGGGTTAATTTATTAATAGTAACAGATGCTCAGTTACAAGCATGGTGACTCAAGGGAGGAATTTCCTTTCTTTCTGGTGAGTGAGGGCTCCACAGCCCCAGGTGCACCCAGAGGTGAAGGCATGAGGTGAAGGGATGAGGCTGTGCTGTGCTTAGTCACTCAGTCGTGTCTGATTCTTTGTGGACCCCATGGGCTGTAGCCAGCCTGGCTCCTCTGTCCATGGGGATTCTCTAGGCAAGAATACTGGAATGGGCTGCCTTGCTCTCTGCCAGGGGATCTTCCCAACACAGGGATCGAACCCAGGTGTTCCCCATTGCAGGTGGATTCTTAACTGTATAAGCTACCAAGGAAGCCCAAGAATACTGGAGTGGGCAGCCTCTGCCTTCTCCAGGGGATCTTCCTGATCCAGGAAGTGAACCAGTCTATTGTACTGCAGGCGGATTCTTTACCACCTGAGCTACCAGGGAATCCAGAAAGGATGAGATGGACCCACTAAACCCAGCATGGCTATCACATATGCCAGGGGTGGAGGGCAGGTAGAGTTACCTTTAAACATAAGAGACAGAAGTTGGAGGACTAAAATTCCCAGAAGCCAGTAGGGACTTTTCTTTAAAAAAAAAAAAAATTCAGAAACATGCTGGAGAACATTTTGGCAGTGAACTCTTTGACACTTATTTGAAAAACATTTGGAATTGTTGGGCCTAGATTTAAATATAACACTTTCCCCTTCGGGCCTCCTCCCTCCCCTGGAGTGTGCAACATGCATCTGCATTATATTAATAAGTTAATCAGACCGCTGCCATAGAAGTCACAGGAATACTTTCTTGACAGCAGCAACTTTCTCCTGGAACTAACAAGGGAACTCCTTAACAGATAACAGTCCTTTCTCCATCCTGTAAGCGGTCATGATGACCCACTACTCGCCTTGTATGTGCAGACCTGGACTATGTAAACTGTCAGTAAGTCATTAGATGTATAACACTTTGTCTCATATATAACTGTGCTTTGACCTCTGATGGGAGGAATAGTTCTGAGAGCTCTCTGAGAGACTGTTTCCCAATTTATAATCTTTAGGTTGAATTGAATAAAATTCTCTATTTCTTTCTTAAATTGGCAATTGATTAATCAATTTTTTGTCAACAGGAGCCACTGCAGGTCATTGAACATGAAAGTGTCCTGATCAGGGGTATCTTTTAGGAACATGACCCTGGAAGCTGTGTGTTAGCACAATTGGAATAGGAAAAAATTAGAGACTGGAAAATCAGTTAAAGGGTAAGTACGAAAGCTCAGACAAGATACAGTGAAAGCCTGAAATGAGGTCACATGAAAATTATACATGAATTATATGCTGGCTGAAACCACAATACACTAGTATCAAAAGAAAACCTCAAGACATTTTATCAAAGTCAACAGAAATACTACCATGTGTTAACCCTGGAAAAATTCCCCAAATACAGAGCTCAGTCTTTTAATGTCAGAGGCAGCAAAGCAAAGGTTGTTGGGCCAAGACTAACACTGATATAAGCTGGGAAGGAGTGACCACGTTGCCCAAAGTACTTAGAGCAACAAAACTCTCAACGTGTCAGGTTCAAAAGCCAAAAGCCTCCCACAATATCATAATTAATTTCAGCAGATTATGATATAGCAGTAGGAACTGTGGGATTTAAGTTAGGAGAATGCAGTTTGAATCTCTATTCTGGGACCTTCCAGCTGGTAAACAAAGTGTTCAGGGGTCCCAGACAGATGGGCTGGCCTCCTGCTCCTCCAGGCCCCTCTCTGTCGGGCAGCCCCATTCTTCCCAGTGTTCACTATTCAAATATTTGCACAAACAGCAAATTGTTGACTGAATGGCTTCTGTGGGCAGGCCTGCTTTTGGCTGTGGGGATATAATCTGAACAAAATTCAAGATTCTGCTTCTCATGGGACATACCTGACCATGAGAAGAGACAGAATACATCAAAACATAAAATAAAAATACCTTGGTTGGGCCTTGGAGAAAATCAAATAGAGTCCCCACATCTAGACCTAATAATGCTCCCAAGGACAGGATCATGCTGTTGTCTTGTGGATGACACCCCAATCCTAGAACAATCCCAACTGGAAGGACAGCAAGGAGATCAAACCAGTCAGTCCTAAAGGAAATCAATCCTGAATATTCATTGGAAGGACTGATGCCAATACTTTGGCCATCTGATGTGAAGAGCAGTTTCACTGGAAAAGATCCAGATGCTGGGAAAGACTGAGGGCAGGGGGAGAAGGTGGTGACAGAGGATGAGATGGTTGGATGGCATCACTGACTCAGTGGACATAAGTTTCAGCAAGCTCTAGAAAATAGTGAAGGACAGGGAAGCCTGTCATGCTCCAGTTCACGGGGTCACAAAGGGTCGGACATGACTGAATGACTGAACAACAACAAATGGAGCCCTAGAAATGCATGTTGAACGTTAGTAGCATTGCTCTACATGAAGCTCAACAGCTCAACAGCTACCAAAGGCAGCCAGCAATGGCCCCAAGAAGTGTCCTCCCGGCATGGCATTTTCCAAAACAGGAGGTTGAGGATTTGCTAACTCTTTATATAACTAAGAAATCTCTGGGACTTTCCTGGTGGCCCAGTGGCTAAGACTTTGAGCTTCCAATCCTGGAGGCCTGGGGTTCTATCCAGTCAGGAAACTAGATCCCACATGCCGCAACTAAAGGTCCTGCTTGTTGCAACTTAAGACCCAGTGCAGCCAAATAAATAAATAATTTTTCTTTTTAAAAGAAATCTCTAAGACTTGGGGCTTTTTATTTGCTTGGTTTGTTCCTATTTTTGTTTTTAAATGTGGTTCATGTGATTCTTGGGACATTTGCCACAGAATCATCTGAGAAAGTCATTAAAAACACAAATTTCTGGGCCCCACCCCAAACTTATTGAATTAAAATAACGGGAAGAGGGGCCCAAGAAGCTGCAAACTCCTAAGTAGTGTTGATGCTACACATTACTGACTAAAAATCAAAACTAAATATGAAGTCTACAAGGCCTTTTTTCATTTCATTTGTAAATGTCTCCACACGTGGCTCTTCAGAGAGCTCTCCTACAAACTTCCTTTGCAAAAACTCCACAGCTTGGTCACAAGAGGAATGCCCTGGAAGACAGAGCCCACATGATGGGAGTGATGCATCAACAGATCTATTCATTCAAAAAATCTGAGCCCTGAGACACTGGATGGCTTCAGTGGAATGGCTTCCCTGCCCAGGGACCTGAAGGATAGACTTTCTGGATATTCCCTACCTGTGAAGAGAGCATGGTAGTGGAGGCCCCTCTCCTTATCTCGATGAGTGCAGACATCAAACAAGTAGGCTTTGATGGGCCCATCAATGAAGTCAGCAGCAAAATCAAAGAGAACCACACCTATCATGGTGATACTTATGGCCCAGATCGGCTTCCTCCTTGAGTCAGCAATCAAAGCTAAAAGAGAAACAACCATTGGTCTCCTAAATCCTGGTTTAGAACGATCCACATTTTTATTTCCACCCGAACTTCCTGTCTTCATATTACCTCCCTATACTTTCATTGTGTTTGCTCTTCCAAATAAAAAATAGCTTCATTATTTTTTCAAGTTTTAAAAATCATGCAGTGAATGTCCAGAGAAGACAGCTCTCTGGAGACAGAAAGTAGATTGAGCAGTTACCTAGGACTGTGGGGGAGAAGGAAATGGGGAGTGACTGTTAATGGCTACCAGGTGTCTGTTGGGGGGGAGATGAAGCTGTTGTGTAATTAGATAGTGGTGGTGGTTATACAACTTTGAGAATATACTGAAAAGCACTGAGCTGTTCACTTTTAGATGGTGACTTTTATGGTATGTGAATTATCTCTCTTTTAAATAAAGTGGTTTAAAAAATTATACGTACTGACTGTAAACCACGCCAACCATATAGGAAAGCTGGGGAAATACTTCAAGATCCCAGGTCCAAGAGATGGTCATCCTTCAGACATCCCTTTATGCACAAAAATAGAGAGAGGTGTGCATCTGTGCCTTCATGCAGTGCTTCTCAGACTTTAGCTCCTTAACCATTACCCGGATGACTTGTTAAAACAGATTTTTGGGCCTCACCTACCATGAGTCTCCTATGATTCCTCAATAGGTGGAAGGTAGGGCCTGGGAATTTTCACCTCTATCAGCCTCCAGTGAGGCTGATGCCACAGGCTGGACGGCTTTGCTTGGAGGAGCACTGACTAATGGGACCAGATTGTAAATGAGCATCTTTTAACCAACTCTCTTCATATCTTTGCCTTTCAGTAGATGAAGAGAAACATCACAATTTTAACACCTAAATGATATTCATCCTATGACCATACCACTGTTCATTCACCCCTCATAACTACTTCTCAGGCTTTCAGTTTATTTTTTAGACTTAAGAAAATGTGTAATATATGCACCTGACTTTAAAAATTCAGTACAAAAATAAGTGAAAAACAAGCTTAACTTTCCCCTCTCACCCCCAGGCCTTTAGCACCCTTCCTTAGAGGCAAAATTTCTTTTCAGGTATTTTTTAAAATAAAATTCTTCCAGAAATATACTACAGTTATAGATTTATGCCCATGTTTAAATATATAGAGATGATAACTGATTATCATGGCTTATTATCATCCATTCTGCTAGCCTGAGAGTTAATGGTCAGAAAATGTGTGTTATTTTTAACAATTCTTTTTTTCAACACAATATATACTACCACCAATTACTAATTAATTGGCTGCTGTTTAATGGCTAGAAAAAGTGCTCACCATCAGGTCTATGTCCATGATTTGCAATGAAAAACTGTCCCCTTGAGCTGCCAAGCCGATGCCCTGTACCTGTTACAAGACTCCACATAAAGCTGTGAACATCATTAACTCTTCTTTGGACACACAGGTACATTTCTTGGAAAAATTTATGGAGCCGTTAGGCAGCTGGTTAATTTGAGAAGGTCCTAAATAAGGTTTGGTGGGCACACACACAAAACCCCATAATTCATAAACATGTAACAATACATAATGTAATAAAATAGGTAAAAATATAATCCCATTTTTAAGTTCTCACAACAATTAAAAAATAATGTATCCTGAAGTTTCTAAAAGTAAAGGTGCCTAACTACAGAATCTGGGGCACTCAAAGGTGGAAATTCAATGTAACTTAGGATAGGGAGTCAGTTTTAACCATTTTTTACTGTCACAGAAAGAACTTTGCATTCTCCTTGTCCTGAGTTGCATAACAGGACCTTCTCCCACCCAGCCTACCTGGCGCAGTCCACTGACCTGATATGATCGCGTCCCCGTTGAGATACATGGCCATGCCCAGGAGCATCATGACGCCCAGCGTGAGGATGTAGGGTCTCCGGCGGCCCCACCGGGCCCGGCAGTGGTCGCTGGCCGATCCCACCAAGGGCTGCAGTAGGAACCCCAGGATGGGGCTCAGGAGCCACACCATGCTATACAGGCTCTTGGGCAGGCCCACGCTGAGCAGCACTGGAGTCACGTAGGCCGCCTCCACCGCATAGCAGAACTCCCGGCCGAACATGGCCATGCTGTGCATAACCAGGCTCCCCGTGGGTCTTTTGGGCAGCTCTGCAGAGCCCAAGAGGGCCTCCTCATCAAGGGATTTATAGGTGCGTAGGGCAGACTGCCCACTCTTGTCGCCCATGGCCACCGGGCGAGGAACCTGCCTGCAAGCCCACCACCCTCTCTGTGGCCCTGGGGTTCGCCCTCCCAGCTGGATTTGACATGGAGCCGGGCTGCACCGCCCGCAGAGACGGTCAGGCTGGGGGAGGGGCTCAAATTCTTTCATGCCTCTAAGATCACAAGTTATGATGAGAAGGAAGGGGGAGGGGCCAGGAAAGCATGACGGAGATTAGCCAGCTGGGAGCCCTCTGGCTCCTTTGAATGTGTTTCTAAAGGAATCTTGCTTTGTACTGTTCTCTCTCTGCCTCTCTTTCTCTCTCTCCCTCACACACACACACACACACACACACACATTTACAGACAATCACACATAGCTTTTAGACAATAAAGCCCTATAATGTAGATGTTAAGTATGAAGGAGTCAATATTTTTTCTAAACTTTTTCTGGATATAAATATTCTGTCCTTCCTTGAACACAGGTTTTCTACATACACACACATCTAGTCAATTAACTAGACTTAAAACAGTGAGAGGGTGCCCCTTCTAAATTACTAACTCTCCCACAACTCTGCAATATTTTTCTTCCATACTTGAGATAGTTCTATTTATTCTCCTGCTTTTTTTTTGTTTTTTTTTAATATATTTTTTTTATTGAAGGATAATTGCTGTACAGACTTTTGCTGTTTTCTGTCAAACCTCAACATGAATCAGCCATAAGTATACATATATCCCCTCCCTTTTGAACCTCCCTCCCATTCCTCCGCATCCCACCCCTCTAGATTGATACAGAGCCCCTGTTTGAGTTTCCTGAGCCATACGGCAAATTCCTGTTGGGTATCTATTTTACATGTGGTAATGTAAGTTTCCATGTTACTCTTTCCATACATCTCACCATCTCCTTCCTTCCCCATGTCCATAAGTCAATTTTCTATGTCTGTTTCTCCTTTGCTGCCCTGTAAATAAATTCTTCAGAACCACGTTTCTAGATTCTGTATATGTGTGTTAGAATATGATATTTATCTTTCTCTTTCTGACTCGCTTCACTTTGTGTAATAAGTTCTAGGTTCATCCACCTCATCAGAACTGACTCAAATGCATTCTTTTTCATGGCCGAGTAATATTCCATTATGTGTATGTACCACAACTTCTTTATCCATTCATCTGTCATCTCCTTCTGTTTTAGTCTTTGATCCTCTAATGAGCAGTGATCAGGTCTCTCCTGCTCATTATGGCATCTAGCATG